TTTGCTGCTGAAACTCGGAGTTCTTTTGCCTCCATACCATCTTCTTACCGTCTGAGCCAAATAAGTTAAATTTACTTTCGTCGGTAAATAGAACCTAAAAAAATATTACTATAGCCTCAAAAGTGTATTCTACCGTTATATACCTTTTGCCAGAAATGCATATCTTTATGAACATATTTGCGCGTAAACTCCAGCCGTTTTTTACGGTTTTTATTGCTAATAAAAGGCTTGTTTCTGGCCGTTCGTCCATTATAGCCGTGCTTTCTGAGGACCCTTCTTACAGTTTCGGGATTAACGTGGATATTTAATTGATTTTCAACCACCTCTGTCAATTTTGGGGCACTTAGATGAGGATTTTTCTTGATTTCCCGTATAATAAATGCCTCATCTCTTTCCGAAAAGCCTTTTTTTTGCTCTCCCTCTGCTTGTTTACTATTCTTCCCCCTCTAATAAAGCGATGTATGATGTGCTGGACAGTTCCTCGACTTTTATTCACATATTCTGCAATATCTCTTTGAGATTTTCCCTTTTTGTGAAGTTCAATTATTAACTCTCTAATTTCAATACTTGTTTGTCGACCCATCTTCACTTATTGCTTGTTAATACACAACTAATGAACCAACAATAAGATGCGAGCAAAAATTTATATCCGAAAATAGATATACCGTTATTTTAAAAGAAACAACATTAGGTGGCTCACTTTGAGTGTGACGCGAGTTGCCCCACTTGTTTTTGTTTTTTTTTATTACTCCTACTTCGATTGCGAGCAAAAACAAAAAATACCGTTAGAATGCAAGCAAACATACTTACTTTTAAAACTAAATAAGAAATAAAGGGTGTAAGGGAGTTTTTACAAAGGTTATTTTAACAAATATTTTCAAATAAGTGGTGGCTCACTTTCACTGTGACTCACTGTAATATAATTATAGACGGTTGTAAATCGAATTACCCTATTCTGTGGATGTTCTCTGTATTACGATTAGTAACTTAATGGGATTCGAAAGGCGACAAGGAGTAATAAAATTGCATAATGCCAAGTATTCCAACCCCAATGATTTGCTTTTCGAATCGCAATACGGAGTAAAGGTCCTGGTTTTCATGGCCTTTTTGCATTGGCTAAAATAGCAGCGTAACGATGTGACATCGAATCGCCAAAGATCTTCTGAAAATATTTGATTTCCCAGTAACCCCTACCTTCAATTGAATGTTTAACACAATCGCTCTATATATTAAACACTAAACTATCTTTCCGCTCAACAGAACGATCGGAAACACCACATTTATCATCGATGAAGTTGAAAACCAGCCTACGCAGCAGCAAATCTTTGAAGAAGTTGGCTTTGAATCGGAGGTTTTGTTTGAGGATTGTCCTGTCGAGGATTCCACATATGAGGTTGCACAGTGTGACCAGTTGAATAATGACTGCAGGTCGACTTCACAACCATTAATTGAGAGCCAAAAAGACGTAGGCGCCAGTTCGAATAGATCTATAAAGCGGAAAAGAGATGAGGATCGGCTAGATCAACTTTGTGGTACTGTAAGTGACTGGCTAAAAAAGTCTGAAGCACCTGCACAACAACTAAGCCGTAATTCGCAATTTCTATCAGTACTTGATTCTTATCTTCTTAAGCATTCTGAAGAAGATCAAGACTTTTTAAAAATTCAAATTTTGAACTTAGCCTACAACGGCGTGGAAAATTAATTTACTTTTAATTTAATCCAATGTAATGTACATTGGTCATTAGTACCTGTATTAACGTTCCAACTGAATTAATTACAATGTAATTTAAACGTGACTGAATTGATAGTTCCTTTTAATTAAATGATTTACACTACGGTGTAGTGATATGAACATATGTACAAATACACATTTAAATTTTTTGTAATAAATAATATATACTATAGTTTGAAGTGTGTAGTAACTTCTTTTAAATAACAAAAGGTATATATTAGAATTTTATTATTACATATATATTTGTTATTAATATTTTTATGTACTATATTATTTTTATATAATACTATTTTTGTTGCTATTAATTTAGGTAATTTTTAATAAAATTATGTACATGTATTCTTACACAAAACCCGTGTAAATCCAAGTTTGTGCAATATTTAAAAAAGTCAACAAACTTTCGTAAAAATTTCATATTTTTAATGAATTTCTTAGAAAGATTTTGAGTATGCATGAGTAGAACAAAGTACAAAATGCAAATGGCTAAAAATTACCGTTTTTAAATATTGCACAAACTTGGATTTACACGGGTTTTGTTAAAAAATATATGTATGTATATAATTTTATAAAAAAATAACCAAAATTAAATAACAACAAGAATAATATGTTTTTTTACTTATCCCTCAATCTCTTAAAAAAGTTGGCTTGGTCCAATACCCAGCCGAGTGCTGTACAGTGTTTTATAAGAAAACTCATATGAATTCACATTTCAAATTTTGTACAAAATTTAAAAAAAATTAACAGGTTTTTGTCAAATAAACAAACTGTTTTGAAACTGTGTTGCTTCTATAAAATTTAAAATGTTTTCATTGCCAAAAAGATACTGCTACTATAATTTATGATTTATGTGTATTTTGTTTATAGTATGATCTGTAACCAATGTGAAGAAATTTTAATAAATTTTAATTTTAAAATAAATAAATATACTACGGTTACCTAAAAAGTGAAATAAAAGTAATGTACATACATACAGCCATGTGAAAAATAATAGGGGCACGAGATTTTGACCAGTTTCGGTTATTTTTCCTTTGTTTGTTTTATGCTTATTATTTTTTTTTATAGTAATACAGCTCACTATCTAACTATTAAACATTAAACAATCAAAGTAACTTCAACTTATACGCCTCACTCTTTGTGAACCAGTCTCATCCACTGGCATTCCACACCGATACGCGTAT